TATTACTCAAAGAAAATCACTAATATAAACGGGTGTAAAAATGATTAGGCATACAACTTACTCCTTTTTCACAGTACTCGCCTCCAAAATACAGCATGGCTCTTCTACAGGGCTATAAGTCGATAATCTAGGTGATGCAAAGGGGGGAGGGAGCGCTCCTAGGTTGGCGGAGGCCAAGGACGATGTCGAGGAGGTTGAAGGACCATGGTGTCGAAGGTCCAATGACTGCTGCTGTCGATAAGCGTGATTATGGTGATGGTGGTGGTGATGATCTGAGAGGTGGTGGTGATGGGAGCGATGACATTTCTCTAGGTGGTGATGGTGGTAAGAATTGCTGTGTGGCTCATGATGAACTTGTGGCTCAAGTGGCCAGCGCCGGAATACAGGGGCATGCCAACAAACTGGGTCGAGATCGATTAGAACCTCAGCCTGACCAGCCACCACTTGCTGGAAAGCCATTTGATCTCCAGCTGGATAAAGGGAAGAGCAATTGGAGAGCAGACTGTTAGGTGTATTCAATTAATAAGCATAACCGGATCATGTAGCAAGGATGCAACAGATTCGTAAGGAACAGAAGAATATATCATGAATACAGTGGCAGAGGACGCAAGACTAGGTACGTTACACAAGGTCGCCCTGTCGCTCCGATCAAGTAGCGAAAACGAGGTCAATCCAACCCCATGCAGCTAAAGAAGACTGCAATCAAACAAAGATCCCACACCACCTTAGTCTTCATACCTACGATATAAACAGATATTTTTCTAAAAAAATTTTGTAATAACTTAAAATAACAAGTATGCATCGCCTTATCAACGATATTTTCACTAAATGATTTCAATCCCGGGCGCCTGACTCACTGTGAAAGTCACCTCTGTTCTCTGACTTTTGGCGCTCAGAACTGCGTTGTAGAGCGGAAACTTTGCTGCTTGATGCGCAAACAGATCTCGAATCTCATCAAAAGTAATGATATAACCCAGAGGAGGTCGAAAGTGAAGTCAATGCTATATAATAAAGCTTTTTTGGAGGCTAGGCCCTGAAAGCAAATGGCATCGTGAGGCTCTTTAGTCATTTCATTGTCGGCAAGTCAATTATCAGGATTTCCATCATCCTAAATGACCCAGAAAGACTCTAGTACTAATTCAAATAAATATTTATATCGAAGGTATGAAGACCAAGATGGTGTGGCCTTTTGTGTGGTCGCAGTC